CCAGAGAACGGGGTGGGGAACGCCTGTGTAACCTCTAAGGTACTACCATCGCGCTTTCACTTAGCACCTATTTTCAACAAAACATGAGAAACAGGTGCTTGTTGTTGCTGTTGTTTAAGGAGGTATTTTTGCTTCGCTAGGCTGGTGTACCGCCGCTCAAGCCATGCCGCCAGCCCTTTTAGGCACTGCATAATTTTAAGGCAGGGCCTCGCTTTACACTCCAACTGGCCTGGGGCGGGGGGGGGGGGGGGGGAGGGAAGGGGCGGGGGGGGGGGAGGGAAGGGGCGGGGGGGGGGGGAGAACGCCACTGTGCCCAGCCATCAAGCGAGTTCGAGTCTTGTGAGCTTCTTTGTTCCTCTGGCCTCAAATGGCAATTCCTGATTTCAGATCTCTGCCTCCCAAGAATTCAGATCACAGACTGCAGAATTCTTACAAGTAATCAAAACATTTCAAGATGGCATTTGACCAAAGTAATTGTTTTATTAGGTTTATAACTATGACAATCATTTCAATAATAAGGCTATATTTTTTTTCTTTTTCTTTTCTTTTTTGCCAGTCTTTGGGCTTGAACTCAGGGTCTGGGTTCTGTCCCTGAGCCTCTCTGTGCTCAAAACTAGCACTCTACCACTTCTGGCCTGTTCTGTATATGTGGTACTGAGGAACTGAACCCAGGGCTTCATGCATGCTAGGCAAGCACTCAACCACTGAGCCACCTTCCCAGCCCAAGGCTATACTTCTTAGAAGAGAAACAAAGATGGCTCTACTTATATTCAGAAAACATGTCAGGAAGTCGTGAGGAAGAAAACTGTGTAATATTTCCAGGGTTAAAGGCGAAGTTAGGAGAAACAAGGAAAGAAACTTCAAACTGACTAAAGAAAGCATTCAGAGGGTATCAGACAGGTGGGCAACAGTACGTAGCTAACGAAGGTGCCAAGTATGTAAAACAAACACTCAGAACACCAAGATCTAACCAGAGCACAGATCCACACAGGCCTGACGGAGGAAAGGGAAGGGGTGGTTCGAATCTCAACAATCTCAGCCTAATCAATGCAGACTCTCTACACGAAGGAGGCACATTATTTCCAAATATTCATGAACTTCCTTAGTTGACCACATGAAAGGTCAGAGTGCCAAGACTCCAGAAATTGTTTAAACTTTATTACACAGAGCATCTTCATTGACCACAGTGTAACAAAACAATAAGGAACAGGTAAGTAGCTTTTTCTAGAATGATAAAAACTTGGGACTGGAGGCGCAGTTTAGCAGTGGCGCATTTGCCTAGCATGTGCAAGGCCCTGGGCTGATTCCCAGCATTGAACAAGACACAGAAACATACACAGAGAATCCCCCTGCTGAAGAAGTAAGACAAAACTTGCTCAGAGTAAGTGAAAGCATTATATTTCATCCTGCAGGATATTTTTGAGACAGTAGCAAGACAGAAATTTGCTTTAAGTGCATTCACTAGGAAGCAAGATGAAAAACTAACAGGCAACTCCCACGCTCCCTCCCCCTCACAAAAAACCCTTATACAAGGGAAGTAACAAATATGAGTGTGTGTGTGTTGGTCCTGGGGCTTGAGGGCTTTGGTGCTGTCCCTGAGCTTTTTTGCTAAAGGCTAGCACTCTACCACTTGAGCCACAGCTTCACCACTTCAGTTAAATGAAACTAAGAGTCTCACAGACATTCCTGCCAAGGCTGGCTTTGAACCATGATCCTCAGATCTCGGCCTCCGCATATCTGGGATGACAGCTGTGAGCCACTGGTACCTGGCAAATGTAAGATCTTATGCATTCAAAGTAAAAGGGGATGATGAAAGACTACTCCTGCCGGGCTGGTGGCAGGGCAGGGCTGTGGGTAGGGGCGGGGCTGGCCTCCAGAATACCCAAAGCCGGCCCTCCCTCGACCAGAAGGCCAGGACCTCGACAAGGAGGTGCCGGGCAGCAGCTCAGGACGATGAGGGCCAGGCAGCCCAGACCTGGGGGGACGGAGGACGCAGGGGCCTCTTCCCACGCGCGTCTCTGGGGAGGACCCAGCACTGCGGCACACGCTGCGGGAGCTGGGGGCACGCTTCATGCACGTGCCCACACGAGTAAAACTCCATGGGACACAAGCACCACAGCCATCTCCACATGAGCCCCGGGGCCACCTCCTGGCATCTACACTGTTGTATCTGTGTCAGTCGTATCCCGTCAGCGGCATTCCCAGACTGTGTAATGAAACCAAGAGGGCCACCCCCGAGCCCTGCTCCGCACGTGCCAACGGCCGCAGACACACGCAGCAGCAGCTGGGCTGAAACACCACTGCTGGTCACTTTGGCCACCTTCCCTCCAGCACAGAGCCGCGGTGGGGCGCCCTTCCGGGCTCGCCGCGGGGCTCCGCGCCGGCCTCTGGGTCTGTGGAAGGCAGCAGTCGCAGTGGCACCTTCAGCGGCTGCCCCACACAGGCGGCTGCCACGCAGTGCTCAGCGCTCCACCGGCACGGAGCCTCGCACGCTAGTGACACCACTTACCTGGCCTGAGTCCCTACTGCAGTCGGGGCTTTACTTGTGCAAGACCGTGAAGAACGCAATTAAACGAGCAGATTCCATCACCCTAACACGCAGGCTTTCCATGCAGATGACACTCAAGGCACCAAGGGCTCGCATGCTCACGGACCAGAGTGACACCGCAGTGCCGCCGGCGGCAAGGGCAGCGGCAGCTGCCAGCGCGGCAGGGGCAGACCCTCCTGGGCTTGGGGTGAGGGCAGGAGGGTCTGCAGGGGCAAGATGGTGCTCCACCCTGCAAAGAGGGTCTCCCCACCCTCGCCCACGCCAGGCCAGTGACTCGTGCTTCCTGCGTGGTGCAGGGACAGAGGCGGACGAGGAAGAAGAGACTGTGGAGGGGCGGGGCAGAGGCGGCCTCAGCTCCTCGAGCTTCACTGAAGCTGGGTCCCGGTGGCTCACATCTGTCATCCTAGCTCCTCTGGAGACTGAGATCTGAAGATCTCTGAAGCCAACACAGACAGACAAATCTTTTGAACTCTTAATTCCAATTTACTGGTAAAATGCCAGAAATGGAATTGTGACCCATGCAACAGACTTGAGTAAAAAAGTCAAGAGCCAGCATGAGGTCCCGAGTTCAAGCCCCAGTACCAGCGCACACGCGCACACGCACACACACAAATTATCACAAAAATCCAGATCTTGAAGCAGGAATTCTACAGACAACTGCTGTGCCGCCACTGGGACCGAGCGCCAGAGTCAGATGCAGAACACAACCTATGGCCACGTGTCAGGGAGAAGTCAGTCCCGCTGTGGAGGTCGTTTTAGGAGCGCTGTGGATGCACGCGATGGGGTGGCGCCAGGGGGCGCTGGCGCCGGCTCTGTGGGTGGGGGTGGCGCAGGGTCACGTGGGTGGAGCACCTGCAGAAATACTTTGAGATGAAGGCTCATGTCTGTGGTCATCGCTGAAGTGTGTGCATGAAGGGAGCGTGCAGGAACGGTAGAGGTCAAGTGCTGGGCACACAGGCACACACAGCACTGCATATGCTCAGCAGAACACTAACTGAAGCCAGTTGTGGTAGCAAACAACCGTAACGCCAGCTGTGTGGGAGACACGGGGAGGAGGACTGCAGTCCAAAGCCAGTTCTGGGCCAAACACAAGGCCTGTCTGAAAATGCAGCCCAAGAAGGGCTGGTGGCGTGGCTCAAGTGTAGCGCCCTTGCCTTGCGAGTTCAAACCCCTGTGCTATCTCCTCCAAAAGAGAACAAAAGCATGCACGCAATGACTATACGATTCACCACGCACAAGAAGGACAAGTGTGTTCAGGCCAACAACATGCCACGCCCCAGATTTCTAGCCAGCTTTACTTCCTGATGGGTCTGATAAGCCGACCCAGAAACCATCTACAAGATCAATATAATAAAATTTCAGAACCATCCAAGAAATAGTCTAGAGTATTATGTCCAGAGTTTTAAGTCTATTTAATCATCTTGGAGTATAGTTGACAAACACTTCAAAACCTACAACTCTCATTGTATTTAATTGAAGCATATCAATAGTTTACTACAAATAGATACACAAATCCAAACTTAAGCCTTTTAACAAATAGTAAAGCTTTATTTTATTAAAACAAACCAACAGTCTACCATTAACAAATGATATTCAAGGACAACGTTATAAGTAACTACAATAGAATAAACTCAACATAATACGGCTTTGACCTGTGATTCACTGGAGAATGGAGGTAAGAGAGCAGGCCACAGGATGAGACCGGCCTGTGGACAGGCCCTGGAGAGTGGCCAGCTGGGGCCCCTCTGAGTCCCCAGGGAGCTGTGCCATCTGAGCCCATCCTGCAGGCGGAGTGCTGGCCTCCACACTGCCAGCAGCTCGGGCACAACACAAAATCAGGACCCAACGGGCCTGCTCTATCCGCGAAGGCACCATCACGCCCGGAGGGACAAAGCTGCATGCCCTGACTCGGAGCCAGCTGGGCACTGAAGCCCCAATCACAGCGCACAACCCTCCACTGCCAGGGCCAAGTCAACCCCCACGCAGCCCAGGCCTGGCTGGAGCAGAACTGGGCGGCTTCACAGCCCCGCCCACAGAAATGTGGCTTGTTTGCCTTCTGAACACACCTGAGAACCCAGACTACCTACTGGGCACCTGTCTACCTTTTTCCTCTATTTGCTTTCTTCATTTTCAGTTTTCCGGAGGGCAAAACTCATGTCCTCCGCATTCTGCAGGCCCCAGTACACTACACTGTACACAGTAAGTTGTCCAGTTTGTTACCTGACAATTCAGATTCGACTGCCACTTACATAGTGCACTTTCATAAGCAAGTATGGGCTGTGACTTTGACTTGAACAAGTGACAGCATTAATGGGCGAGTGTCCGTCACACCTTCCCTAGCATTTGGTGTTAAGATTCCTGGAAACCCAGGGCAGCCTGAGTGACACTTAGCAAAGAAGCGCATAAAGAACACTGATGAACCAGCGCCTGCCTGGCCTACTTACATACTGACCTTTTTAAGAGAATCCCCGTGTCTTTCCTGAATATACTTCAGGAAGGCCGTGGTCCACTGAAGGGTTGTTGCCTTATCTGTCTCTGCGTTGCAGAACGGAACTAAAAGATTCAGCTCGTCACAGCAAATTCGGATTCTGCGCCTGCAGTCAAAACCCAGAGTAATCACACAGGGCAGCTGGTGAAGAAAAGAGCAACAGGAGGTTCACTATTTTACTCAAAGGAAACAGAGCTCCTGGAGCTGACCGCGTGCTCGCTTGGGAAACACCCTCCCGGGAAGCTCTGACCCACGAGCACTTCACTACTGCGCTCCCACTGGTCTGGAGACCAGTAATGAAACTCAGGTCAAAATTCTGCGTGTACTTTTTCTGGGAAGTCCCTCCCCACCTGCAACCTCTTTATGATGCAGGGGATGAAACCCAGGGCCTTGCCCACCTGGAAAAGCAGTTGACCACTGAGTGCCCATAGCCCCATTCTTCCAGGGTAGCCCACACACAATCAGACAAGCTTGGGAACAGCCTGCTGGGGACGCTTCAGGAATCCTGACTCAGTGAGGACCAAACCGACCTCCAACCACCACCAACCACAGCTCTGCCTAATCCTGAGACCTGGCTTCCTAACTCAGTCCAAGCACCCTGGCTTTTACCATTAGCACTGAAAACAAAACAGAGCTCTAAAGAGAAGTGACATTACAACCTAAGTCTTGCATTTGGCAAAGCAATACAAAAACGTCTACAATGTGGCTCTTGTGATGCATCTGTACATTTACACATAAAAAAATGGAATCAGGCAGGGTGCCAGTGGCTCACACCTGTAATCCTAGCTACTCAGGAGGCTGAGATCTGGGGATCGCAGTTCAAAGCCAGCCCAGGGCAGGAAAATCTGGGCGACTCATCTCCAATTAGCCACCAGAAAACCAGAAGTAGTGCTGTGGCTCAAGTGGTAGAGCGCTCGCCTTGAGCTGAAGAGGTCAGGGACAGCGCCCAGGCCTAGAGTTCAAGCCCTATGACTGACCAAAAAAAAAAAAAAAGAAGAAGAAAATCCAACGTTGGCATGGTGGCAACAAGATGCACCCTAGCTTCTAGACACCCTGCCCAAACTCTACCTATTAGCTCATTTAGTTCTGAGCTTCGCAAATTAAGTCTATGCAGTAGATAATATTGCTATTTTATAGATGAGAAAAGCTTGACATAAGATGCAAAGATGTTAGGGTAAAAATTTACACTTCCAAACATCGACATGTGGTATGAGATGACTCACAGAGCAGGTATTTAATACATCAATTGGCAGAATGACCTCTGCTATCCAGTGAGTTCAGAGAAGTCCCTCAGAAGGTATGAACAAGTATTGTAAGAAAGGCAAGAGCCGGGCGCTGGTGGCTCACACCTGTAATCCTAGCTACTCAGGAGGCTGAGATCTGAGGATCGCGGTTCAAAGCCAGCCCAGGCAGGAGAGACCGTGAGACTCCTATCTCCAATGAACCACCAGAAAACCGGAAGTGGCGCTGTAGCTCAAGTGGTAGAGCGCTCGCCTTGAGCTGAAGAGCTGAGGGACAGCGCCCAGGCCCAGAGTTCAAGCCCCACAACCGACAAAAAGAAAAAAAAAAAAAGAAAGGCAAGAGCTGGGCACTGGTGGCTCACACCTGTAATCCTAGCTACTCAGAAGGCTGAGATCTGAGTTAGAGGTTCAAAGCAAAGTCTGTGAGACTCTTATCTCCAATTAACCAGCAAAAATAATGGAAGTAGAGGTGTGGCCCAAGCGGTAGAGCGCCAGTCTCGAGTGAAAAAGCCAAGCAAGAGCATGAGGCCCTGAGTCCAAGTTCCACAAGAAGGAAGGAAGGAGGGAGGGAAGGAAGGAAGGAGGGAAGGGAGAGAGGGAGGAAAGGGAGGAAAGGGAGGAACGGAGGGAAGGAAAGAAGGAAGGAGGGAGGGAGGGAAGGAAGGAGGGAAGGAAGAGAGGGAAGGGAGGAACGGAGGGAAGGAAAGAAGGAAGGAGGGAGGGAGGGAAGGAAGGAGGGAAGGAAGAGAGGGAGGAAAGGGAGGAAAGGGAGGAACGGAGGGAAGGAAAGAAGGAAGGAGGGAGGGAGGGAAGGAAGGAGGGAAGGAAGAGAGGGAGGAAAGGGAGGAAAGGGAGGGAAGGAAAGAAGGAAGGAGGGAGGGAGGGAAGGAGGGAAGGGAGAGAAGAGAAGAAGAAAGAAAAGGGAGGGAGGGAAGGACAGACGGAGGGAGGGAGGGAGAGAAAGATCTAGTTCGCTTTAACATAGCCTTTTAAAAAGAACAAATTGTCCGGCTCAATATTCAATATTGGAATTTCAAAGGTATTTGTTTCACTCAGTGCTACTTATTCCCTGAGCTGAAAACAAACCGACACATAATACTCAGTAAATGACTAAGTGAATTACCAGGAAAACTATGTAAAAACCCAACTGTAACAACAACAACAAAAAATTAGGCACCTTTGCTTTTATACAGAAAAGGACAAATAAAATTCCCAGGTAAGACCTGTAGGTTCTAATCTCCTCTTCTCCAGCATTCTTAAAGAACTGGGCGGGGACCTTGCCCACTGTGCAGGACTAACCTGCCAGCCTGAGGCTCCTCAGCTGAGAGCCTGCATCAGGCTGGCCAGCCTCAGTGTGGGGGAGAGTTACAAGTGGCCCAAAGAGCTACTCTGCCAAGGACAGAGCACCCTCTTTCATCTGGCCACGAGGCAGTCAGGTACTGACAGGATGGACTGTGACCTAATCTGAAGGTGATGAGCACTCCTGCATGCAGTCCCTCCCCGCCGTGTGGCCAGGGTGGCCTGTGTGCTACCGGAAGAGGAATCCTGGCAGTAAGTGTGTGTGTGTGTGTGTGTGTGTGTGTGTGTGTGTGTGTGTGTGTGTGTGTCTGCCCTGGACTCCCCCGCTGGACCTCTGCTGATTAGTCGCAGAACTAAGTCATAGCTTAGAGTCCACCAGTGACTGCTGAACTTGGGTGGTCTTGTGGACTCCTGGCCCAATGAGCAGAGCAAAGTGGAGGTTATTCTTTCCTCCCATGTCTCAACCATGTGGCCCACTGTACAAATCTGTGCATCTAAGATAACTGCACAAACCCATCACATGCATTACCTTCTATCTCTTTCCATTCGGTTATGCCTCTCCCGACGCTGAGACCTTCCTCCCTGGGGGCCGCTCTGCGTCGGCTCCCCCAGGGTAGACTGGGAGGATTCTGAGCACTGCCAGGCACCCTGTGCCGCCGTGGAGCCTTCACCCACATTCTGGATCTCTCCCAGGGCTCTCCGTTCTATACTTGTGTCCAGCTGACGGATCCTACTCCGATTCCTCTTATTTATGGCTTGTTTACATAGCGCTTCTTCTTTGCAAAAGAAGGAAAAAGAGGTCATTTAATTTTTTATTCTTATTTAATAAGTTAATATTAACTTGCTGGTGTTGATTTTTTTTTTTTGGCATTTTCAATCCAAGATACAGACGGTGCTGGGTGTGCCGGAAAGCGACCAAAGTGAGGAGCTGCGATGCCAGTGCGGGCACTGCAAACCCAGCCGGGACTGGGCCCAAATTCACATGCAGCGCTGAGCCAGCACGGCTGCCTTGTCAAAGTCCTTCTCGCTAGTCAACATGCATTATTACCCACGACACAGAACCAAGGCGGTTTCTTTTTCTGCAATTCAGAATGAAAAACGCTCAAACTATTTTCTCCAAAAAGGTTTCTTTAGATCCAATTATTCTAATGTGCAATGGATATTTTAACTGTGGTGCTCACAAGAAGGCAAATTTTAAGTGCCTGATACGCAACACCTGCTTGCCTCACAGTGGGAGCTACAAAGAGCACACAGCACTCCCGCCCCGCTGCGTGCTGCGGCACAGCGCGCCGCGCTGCTGGGCATAGGATGTACATCTGCACCCAGGCGCCACAAAAGCCAGCACTCCCTAACATCAGCTTCAGAAAGTTCTGGTGTTTTATTCCTTAGCTGGGGGCCACACACTGAAGCTCATCTGCACTCCTCACAAATGGTGCCAAACACTTCACCTAAAATGTCAGGGGGAGGAGAAGAGAGAGGAAAGGGCTGGGGGCAGGGATAAACTATACCCCATGCAGTTTATCAGCTCCCAAAACCTTGGCTTAACAGTCTTACAGTGTCGCTTAAAAACCATCTTTTCACGGGGCACTGGTGGCTTCTGCCTGTCATCTTAGTTACTCAGGAGGCTGAGAGCTGAGGATTGCAGTTCAAAACCAGCCCAGGCAGGAAAGTCTATGAGATTCCTATCTCCAATTAATCACCCCAAAAAGCCAGAAGTGGAGCTGTGGCTCAAGTGGTAGAGCACCAGCCTTTCTGTGAAAAGCGCTCATGGACAATGCCTAGACCCGAGTTTAAGCCCCAGAATGGCACAAAAAGAAAACAACAACAAATTTTTTTTGCCAGGGAAAACAGTGAGAACTTTCACCATCAGCAAAGTTCTCCACAGCAGCTTCTCTGATTCCCACACTTCTAATTACTGTATGGCCTCTGCTCCTGCTCCCTGCCCTCCACCTGCAGGGTCTTACCCCTTTGCCACATACCCTAGCTTCCATAAGAGTCCAGACTGCCACTTCACTCAGAGAGTAGGGAAAAAAAACCAACAAACTAATAGCACTAAAGCACTTCCAGTAACTATGATCGCTGAACACTGAGTCTGTCATTTTGTTGTTAAAAAGCATCAGGGCCCTGAGACATTCTTCTATGTCTAAACCACCTCCAGCCCCATATGCTCCCAAAGGGTCAGCCAGTCAGTCAGAGGAGGCCCTGCCGCTTCCATCGCTTACCTCCCACTTTAATCCAAACCTGCTCGGGCAAAGCTTTGTTCCTGCTACCTAAAGTCTGTTTAGAGGACTCAATCTCTTGCTGGTAACAGAACGAAAATGCTCTAGGCAGTCCAATATCCTGATGCTTGGCAGCTTCCAGTATAGAACATGAATTACTAGAACTCTGGAAAAAAATGAAGCAACAGGAGTTTTTATCAATATGTGACTTAATTTGTTCTGTTTTGTCTTTAAGAAGCAGGGTTCCACTGTGTAGCCTGGCTTGGAACGGGGGCTGGCTTGGAACTGACTATGTCTTCCAGGCTGCCCGTGAGCTCATGGTCCTCCTGCCTCAGTCTCCAGAGTGCTGGGGTTACAGACTGCTGGGACTACAGGTACCAACTACCATGCCTAGCTCCTCCATCTGCTCTTCACTGCACAAATAAAATGCACTTAGCACATGAATCATTGAACCTATCGATCAACCAACTTGAAAAACTTTCCCTTCACTATTTCTAAATAGCCCTGCACAACATAAACGTTCCCACTTTTTAAGAAGTTGCCTATTCATGAAAGAAAAAAGTCCTTGGGATCTAACTACAGTAAGTTACAATCTAGCAACACAATACCGAGGAGCAAGCTTCACCTGTGTCTGGGCAAGGCTGGAGTTCCCGCCGGTGGAGCACGCGCTTGTGAACAGTGGATAGGTGAACTGCAAAGCAGTAGTGGCAGCAGCAGTTTTGTTTTTCACTAACGTTGTACATTTGTTTTGTTGCTGATGAAGCGGAACATTCATTAATTCTGATGGATGCCGAATAAGAGTCACCAAACTGCCAAGACAAAAGAAAACCCAGAAACCTCAGAAATACGTGGCAGACCCCAAACCAGCGCCCAGCTGCTGCCCCACTAGCAGGCCTCGTCAGCCTGGGCCAGAGCTCATTTTGTCCACAGCTGCCCTGGGTGTGGCCGCATAGGGACGGGGAGTGCCCTCTCCTCCAGGGGTGTGGGGGGGGAGGGGCTCCTTCCTACCCTGAGCATACCCCAACACCCATCTCTTTTGTCATCCTCCAAACTCTGGAGAGGATGGATAAGCCTTGGACACCCATGGCCCAGGCATGAATGGAAAACCCAAGGTGTCGGTGTCCCCCAAAGCCACACTGGAGGCCACTATGTGGGAGGAGGCTGTGCTGGCTGCGGCTCTGTCTGACAGCTCCAACCTCTAAAGATAGGGTCCTTCCTATGCTTGCACTGCCTTGGGTCAGCTGGGGGGCAACAGGGAGACGACAAAAGCAGCTTTTCCCACCCTCGCGGCAAAGAATGAAAGCGTCCTCCAGCACAGCGGAGCCCTGCCCCGTCAGACAAGGCTCGGTGCACATTCCTCTTGGGGCTGTGGGCCACTGTGTGCAGTGTGCTGTCCAAGCCACCGGTCCTGGTCAGCTCCCTGTGCTACCCAGGGTCTGACCAGTGCCTCCTTGAGCCCATGGGACCTAGCCAGAGACCCAGCCGACTCCCTCATCTCTTATCCTGCCTGCCAGTGCTGAGGCAAAGCCTCTCCTGTATCCAGATCCTGCAGAAGCCTTGCCAACCCTGGGACCCTGGCTGACCCTGCAGGAGGCCTGACTGACCCCAGTCCTCCCTTGCACCCACGCCCCACAGGAGGCCCTGTGACCTCTCAGGAGGCCTGGCTGACCCCCAGCCCTCCGTCCCACTCAGACACCACCCTCCCCCCCCCCCACCAGGCCCAGCTGCCTCTGGCCCTCCCAGACACTGCAGGAGGCCCTGCTAATCTCTCAGGAGGCCTGGCTGGCCCCTGACCCTCCCTTCGGCTCAGACCCCACAGGAGGCCTTGCTGACCTCTCAGGAGGCCCAGCGGCCCCTGACTGACCCCAGCCCTCCCTTCTGCCCAGACCCTGTAGGAGGCCCTGCTGACCTCTCGGGAGGCCCATCTGATCCTGGCTGACCCCAGCCCTCCCTTCTGCCTCGACCCCACAGGAGGCCCTGCTGACCTCTCAAAGCCTTACACCCAGACCCCGCAGGAGGCCCCGCTGACCTCTCGGGAGGCCCTGCTGACCCCCGGTCCTCCCTTGCACCCACGCCCCGCAGGAGACCCTGCTGACCTCTCGGGAGGCCCCGCTGACCCCCGGCCCTCCCTTGCACCTCTCGGGAGGCCCCGCTGACCCCCGGCCCTCCCTTGCACCCACGCCCTGCTGACCTCTCGAAGCCTTGCACCCAGACCCCGCAGGAGGCCCTGCTGACCCCCGGTCCTCCCTTGCACCCACGCCCCGCAGGAGGCCCAGCTGACCTCTCGGGAGGCCCCGCTGACCCCCGGTCCTCCCTTGCACCCACGCCCCGCAGGAGGCCCCGCTGACCTCTCGGGAGGCCCCGCTGACCTCTCGGGAGGCCCCGCTGACCCCCGGGCCTCCCTTGCACCTCTCGGGAGACCCCGCTGACCCCCGGTCCTCCCTTGCACCCACGCCCCGCAGGAGGCCCCGCTGACCTCTCGGGAGGCCCCGCTGACCCCCGGGCCTCCCTTGCACCTCTCGGGAGGCCCTGCTGACCCCTGGTCCTCCCTTGCACCCACGCCCCGCAGGAGGCCCCGCTGACCTCTCGGGAGGCCCGCTGACCCCCGGTCCTCCCTTGCACCCACGCCCCGCAGGAGGCCCCGCTGACCTCTCGGGAGGCCCGGCGGGCCCCGGCTGCGCCCCCCCCCCCCCGCCGCCCCAGGCTCCCGCCCCGCCGCCCCAGGCCCCTTGCACGCACTTGTTGAGCGCCACGCCGGGCTCGGGGGGCTCGGGGCCGCGCGGCGCCGGCGGGGGCTCGGCCGGGATGCTGTTGAAGCGGTCCTCCAGGCGGACGCGCACGGCGGGCTTGGCCCGGGCCTCGGGCGCGCCCTCAGGCCCCGCGGCGCCCGCGCCCTCCTTGGCCGCGCCGTCGGCCCGCGCCCGCGCCGCGTCCGTCCCGCCCGGGGTCTTCTCGGCCGCGCCCGCCTCGCCCAGCAGCATCATGCGCAGCTCCTGGAAGTCGACGTGGCCCAGGCAGGGCGCGTCGGCCGCCAGCGGCGGGCACAGCACCGGGTAGACCGGCGGCGCCGGGGCCAGCGCGCCCGCCGCGCCCGCGCCCGCGCCGGGCCCGGCCAGCAGCGCGGAGCCGAGGCGCGCCTCGAGCTCGCCGTCCGCCGCCTCCATGTGCGAGTAGAGGATGTGCTGCAGCTGCGTGTACTCCACCTCCGTCATCTCCACCAGGCTCAGGTCCGTGGTCGTGAAGCTCAGCCCCGGCTCGCCCAGCGCCGCGTCCCCGCCGCCCGCGCCCTCGGGGCCCGCCTCGCCGCCCGCCGCGCCCGCCTCAGGCGGCGGCTCCCGCGGCCCGGGGCCCGACATGCCGGCGCGGCGCGGCCCAACGGCGGGGCGCGGGCGCGGACGGGCGGCGAGGCGGGGACGCGGCCCGAGCAGGACCCAGCGCCGGCCACCGCGGACGCGCCGTTGGGGGGGAGGGGGCGGAACAGCTGAGGCCGCGGCCGCGGTGCGCCTGCGCCGCCCCGCCCCGCCCGGCAACGGTAACCCCACCTCCCGTGCGGCCCCGCCCCTCCGTTACCTGCCGCTCCGCCCCCGCCCCCGGCCAACCGCCCGCCCGCTGCCACCCCGCCGCGGTCCCGCCTCCCGACGGCCGGCCGCTGCGCGCGCACCTCTCCCCTGCCTGGTCTCGACGGCCGGCCGCTGCGCGCGCACCGCCCACCATTCGCGCGGCGCACGAGGTACCACGGTGGCCCCGCCCCGTGCCCGGCCCCGCCCCCGCGTCTGGCCCCTCCTCGGTGTCTGGCCACCCTTTCCCCCACCCCCACCTCTGTATTTGGCCCCGGGTCGTCTGGCCCCGCCCCAGTGCCTGGCTCCACCCTTGTGTTCTGGCCCCGCCCCAGGGCTGGCTCCGCCCATGCGGCATGGCTCCCTCTCATGTGGTCTGGCTCCGCCCCCACGTCCTGCCTCCGCCCATGTGGTCTGGGGCCGCCCCCTGCCTGGGCTCCGTCAAGGGGTGTGGCTCCGCCCCCTGTCCTGGCTCCGCCTATGTAGTCTGGCCCCGCCCTGAGCCTGGCCCCGCCCCCGTGTCCTGCCTCCGCACGTCCCTCCCGACTCGGTCCTGTCCCTACTCGGTCCTGTCCCGCCTGCCTCCCTCCCCCTCCGGGATCCATCCCTTTCCTGATCGGCCCCGCATAGCCCGGCCTGTCGGAGGCCGGACCAAGGCCCGGTATCAGATCACACCCTCTTGGCCCTGCCGTGTGTCATACCCGGCCCCACCCCGCAGTTCCTTTTTTCTTTTTATACTGGTCCTGGACTTGAACTCAGGGCCTGAACGCTGTCCCATAAGCTTTTTTGCGCAAGTCTGGCACTTTACCACTTGAGCCACAGCGCCACTTCCGGTTTTCTAGTGGTTTATTGGAGATAAGAGTCTCACACTTTCCTGCCCGGGCTGGCTTTGAACCGCGATCCTCAGATCTCAGCCTCCTGAGTAGCTAGGATGACAGGTGTGAGCCACCGGCGCCCGGCCTTTTTGGTATTTACTGGAGATAAATGTCTCACGGACTTTCTTCCCTGGGCTGGCATCAAACCTCGATCCTCAGATCTCAGTTTCCTGAGTAGCTTTTGACTAGCAGACCCCTGTCTGGTACCCAGCCACACACCCCATGGCTGATCCAAGGCCAGGTCACTCCTTTGACTCAGGACCACAGCCTGCACTGGCACAAAAGGGGGACCAGCCCCTTGAGGGTCACTCACTCTGAAGACTCATTTTTGCAAGCTCAAAACAATCACTCCCTGTCTCACATTGGGAGCTCATGCATGGAAGTCTTTTTTCCATTTAGAAGGGAGGGCATTTAAAGGCCTTGAATTTAGGCATAGTTTTCCTTTGGGTACCATTTATCTTTGGAGTGCACTCTTACTTTTCTGCAGTCTCTTTTTTCAATAAATAGTAATATTATACCAGAGTCTTATATGTTTTTCTTTTTCCATCTAACAATAACATCCTCAGTGGGTAAAGATGGCTTTTGACAGAGGATATCAAGACCGCTGAGTACTCATTTTGAAAAAATATTAGCGCACTTATTTTACACAATACGAAAGGTTTCAGATGATTGCAATGGTCAAAATTTAAAAATCAAAATTATAAAGCCACTAACTATATAATCATTAAGTTTATAGCATGCTGTAGACCCTGAGTGAGAAGACCCTAAACGTGACACTGGCACAGGTTATAACATGACTCACTCAAGTCACGACAGATCTAGAACATCCGATGCTGGCCAGCTGCAAGCAAAGCTGTTTTCAAGGAAGCCCAGGAGCAGAGGGGCCTGCTCTCAGGGGTTCCCTCAGGCCACAAGTAAGTCAAGTTGTTCTCAAGAAATTTAATTACAGTTGGCTGGAGCAAGTACACCTTGTTAAAAAAAAAAAAGTAGGGGTACTTACAAAAAGCACAATATAAATTTGCTATAATACAGAAATATAGTGAACACACTAGGAAAGATTTAATTTTCTGTTGGTTTCTGTTTTATGCTGAATTATAAAAATTCCAAAACCTCTATAAAGGAGAACTACGTTGGAGCCATCATGATGACAGGTATCATCCCAAGGTTAGGAGAAGCAAAAGGCAACACATGGCAAGAACAGTGGTGAAGAGGCACTGATAAGATGGGAAATCCCGCAAGTGGGCCGGCCCTGAACTTGAGCCTGATGCACGCAAAGCCCAAAGCAGGATCACCAGTGCTGTCCACACTGAGTCAGCCAGTGACAAGACAGCTAACATGACAGCTTGAACGTGGACCTCTTGGCTTGTAGGCCTTGTTAGCCAGTTAATGAGATATTTACCACTTATAAAAATGTCTGGTAAAACCAACCGCCAGCAGGGCAGCCCGCGGTGACAGGAAGCTGTGTCCCCATAGGGGTGGGGGCTGTCTGAATGCACACACAGAGTTATGAAAAATAACCTAGATCTGCACACATGCATCCAGCTGTCAGTTTCCAGTTCTGAGGGGATACTATTGCTATATTAAAAAGTCTAATCGTTGAGGGAAACTGGGTAAGAGGGAGACTGACTTCTCTGTGTTCTTTTTACATATCCTTTAATAGTAATTCCAAAGTAAAAACTTAAAAACTTGTTTGGCATGTGTATGTGTGTGAGAGCATCAGCGCTGGAGCTTAAATTCAAGGCGCTATGCTCTTGCTTAGCCTTTTTACTCAAAATTGGGCTGTACTATGTAAGCCACAGCTCTACTTCAGGCTTTTCTCTGGTTAATTGGCCTTGAACCATGATCCTCAGATTGCGTGATCCTGAGTAGTTTAGGATCACAGGCTGAGCAGCACCAGGGCACGCAGAGGTCTCTGGTGTGGTTATCCATGTCACACTAGCCGGGCTGGGTCACGGCCCCCCTCAGAAGATTTTGGCACTTCACAGTCCTGCGTGCTGCTCCGAGTGTCTGGCTGAGCCTTCTGCGCGAGGAGTGGAGGGCCAAGGAAGAGCAGTGGCTGCAGAGCCGCTGCCACGGGTGGCAGAGCGGGTACCCGCCCGGCTGTGGCCCCTGCACCCGGCTCACCTGACAGCACACCAGCAACAGTAGCCAAGCGGGCAAGCCCTGCCCCTCCCTGACCTGCTCAGCTTTCTGGGTGGGTGTGCGTGTACACTTGCTTGCATGTACATGTGTGTGGCCAGCTGCTGGGCACGCTCCAGCTAGCCCCTCGGCCAGGCAGTGTCCCATGTGGATGTGTGGTGTCCGCCTGGCAGTGTCCTGTGTGGGCAGCTGTGTGGCCACGTCACCTTCCTCTCCCAAAGCTTCCTGTCTGTGGAGGGGCCTCATCACCCTTCCCCCATGCCCCCAGCCACACAGCAGCTCACGGCAGACCAGGGACCAGACGGTGGCTGGGCCAGGGAGGGATGGCTTGACTCAGCAAGACAAGGCAGTGGGTGCCCCCCAAGCCGGGTCCCATCAATCTGGTGCCGACCAGCACAAGGCATCTGGCGTCCACCGCAGGCCCATCCGCGTGACACAGGAGCCCCGTGTGCACGGCTGTGGCTTGGATCCCCTGCGCTCCCTGGGGACAGAGTGCTCGTGAGACCACAGGCGACCGCGCCGCACCGGCTAGGAGTTCCAGATGCAGCAGAGGGGCCACGGCGGCTTTTCTGCAATGCTGGAGTGCGGGGAAGCTTTCCTGCAATTCCAGTAACTGGAGGCCCTGCCATGGGCACAGCCTGGCCCAGGGTGCCAAGTGAAGTCTGGGAATGACTCAAATGTGACAGTGAAAAGAAAAACCCAAACCCAAGATCCTATAAAACCTCAATTTTGTAAGAGAATCCGAGGGAAAAAGAGGAAGGGAAACAGATCCAACACTTCTGGGCCCCCACCAGTACCACCCGCGTCGCCTCCAAGGGTGCACTCTCTCCCGGCAGGTGTGGAGCGGGGTAGACTCAGCGTCTTCTGCTGCTTCCTGGCGCTTGCCGTGCCCCCTGAGCGCACAGTGAGCTTTTCCTGGCAGACACCTGTCTTTTGCCTCAGCCGTGCTGGTCACCTCTTCCCAGAGCTCGGCCAAAGCTGTGCCCACTGCTGTTCCTCTCACTGACAGACACCCTTGCCAGGGTGAGGGCCTCCACAGACCGGACAGGGCTGGAGTCATGCCCACACGGCCCCACAAAGGGTTCCCATAGGCTTGGGATGGACGACGACATATCCCCTCCGGTGCAACCCCAGGCCCAGACATCTGCGGGGTCTGCCCATCCTGTGGGTGGCGCTGTGTGGAGCACATCTTGGCAGCAGCACCTGGCCTTTACCATTGTGGAGCTCAAGTGTCTTCCTGGGGTGGGTGTCCTTGTGCTGCTTAGGGCAGAACAAGCATTTCCAAGGTGGCAGGGCCAGCACAAAGGTGGCCTGGGTGGCCACGGGATGCCAGTGGGCTGCGTAGCCCCCAGACGCCTCAGAGGACCTGAGGACCAGCCGAGGGGATGGTGGTCAGAGATGCCACAGGTGCCACAACACTCTGCTCTGCAAGCTCTGGCTCACAAGACCCCCACAGGGTCTCTGCTCTTGGCTGGCCAGGTGGTCTCAGCGGGCAGTGTCACCAGGAGACAGCACCCTGGTCTACCAACTCAGCCCAACCAGCAGCTTAACCACCCAGACACCCCCTTAAAGGTGAACCAGTGGGTGGCAAAGGGCCAGGCTTTGGGGGACACTCCATCAAAGAATGCTGGCTCACGCCTCTTGCAACCACAGGTCGCCATCAGCAATTAAACCTCCGGCGGTGGCCTCCGCCCCGCAGGCAGGGGCTCTCTGGGCCAGTCACCAGCCATCTCCAGCTGGTTATAACTGCCCATCACAAACACAGGGAGAGGCCCTCAGTACCCCAAGACAGGCTCCGGGAGGCCCTGCCTGCCGAGGTACTGCGGCAGCCCTGGCTGCACCCCTGCAGCAGGGGTCAGGCTGAGTGA